TCCAGGCACGTCCAACTGGGAAGAGACCCCGGGGAAGACCCAGAACACGCTGGAGAGATTACATCTCCCAGCTGGCCTGGGAACGCCTCGGGATCCCCCAGAATGAGCTGGAACATGTTGCCGGTGAGAGGGAGGTCTGGGTCGGCCTGCTTGACCTGCTGCCACCGCGACCCGACCCCGGATAAGCGGTGGAAAATGGATGGATGGATGGATGTTTTGAAGCCTCGGGTTCGGCAATTTGGCCGTCACCATGTTTTTTTTTGCAACCGATAAACGGAAGTTGCCATATTTGGAATGCGGAGGAGTGACGTAGAGATGCCGTATACAGCTCTGGCAGTGGCAGTGACCTGTCAATAACCGCGTATAGCCCGCCCTAAAGCATGCCCTGCTTTATAGTCTGTCTGACTCTAAATGGACCATAATGTACTAAATGAACATCATGCTGTATTGAAGAAGACTTGATACTAGAGATTGAGACCATAAACTCATGTTTACAATGTTTACTGAGGTAATAAATCAAGAGAGAATTAGAGTCATTTTCTCATAGACTTCTATACAACCAGAGGAGTTGCCCCCTGATGGACACTAGAGAGAATGCAGCTTTAAGGCACCTCCGCATTGGCTTCACCTCCTTCATAAGAGGAGATCGATGCCTGGGAAGACAGGGTGGGCTGGTGTTACATAACAAAGCATGACTTTGATTGCTGACAGGAGGCAGGGAAGATGAAATGTTTTTCTCCCTCTAAATATTTCCTGTGAGCCATGAGATGTAAATTTGACAGGAAGTGTATGTGCGTACGTCTCTTTCCTTATGTGTGTGTGTGTGCCTGTGCTGTCTGTTAGTGTGCACGTTATTACTGATGTGTGTGTGTGTGTGTGCGTGTGTGTAACTATGAAGTATGATGCAGCTGATGTTTAAATCTTGACAAGCATCGTCTCATTTCCATATCTTCATCTTCAAGAACACTCAGCGTCTCTGCGAAGGAGGTGGGAAAAAGGTTCTGAAAGAGAGAAGAGAGAGAATAAACGACAGTCTCATTTACATGTTCAGCTGTAAACCTCAGCTGTCCAAAGGAAGTCTCATAGCACCACACATCACATTATGCACGGTGTTTGCACGTCCAAAAAGGCTGCTGGTGTCACCAAGTATCCTGCATTATACATACAGATGCAGTATATAACTTTAATTTAACTTCAGCTTTTGACTAAGTGTAAGTCTTGAGTTGTTGATATTATTTATTATTAATACAGACGGCCGACAACAAAAGCATGCATATCATTTTACATAATGAACCCCCAAATGTTCAACATTGAATAAATATAAAACACAAATAAACTATCACATGAATTAACTGTTTTAACCATATAAATAAACCAACATATTGTGAGAGAATTAAAGAAATTATTAAAAGTCATTATCATGAAATGTTATTTCATCATTGTATTTCATTATAACTGAATTATAGGCTATATAATTTTTGTGACAGACGTTTTATTTTAAAATGCCCCTTTTCTGATTTTTATTTCATTTCCCAATAAACAGTGTTAGCGTTGTTAGGTAGCATTCATAAAGTCAACGCTATGAAGGTAACTCTGATTTACTCTGTCTCTACTCTCACAATGTGAAATAAAAAGCAATATTAATGATGTATTTAATATTCAACACTTTAGTGCTCCATGAATGTGCAAGTCTGTCTGTCTCTCCTTCCTTATTTCCTGTCTGTCCTCTGCGGTGACAACCATCTAATAAAGGTGAAAAATGCCTGAATGCTCAAAACACAATAAACAGGCTTTTCACAGCCTTTATGAGAAAGGAAATGCTCTCAACTTGTGTTTTAGATCTCAAGGATACACACATATCACAGCAATACAATGTGCCTTGATGAAGAACACTGGATGGCAACATGAAACTCCAAAGGGCACCTTTAAATGGCAATCGCTTTGTTTTTTCGATTAGCTTTGATCCTATTTTTTTAACTCTTTCACCTAAACTAATGTAAACTTTTCTCCAATTATTATTATTGTGTTACGGTTTTATTTATGCTCAATTACAATTACAATTACAAGTACCCTAGTTGTAGGGTACTTGTGTGCATTTACTCACACAATGCACACAGTCAGGACGAAGACGACTCATTTCACAATGAAGAGAAGTTGACTTAGCCCTTTCTTATGGTTGTCAGAGAGTTGCCATAGCAACATTAAATTGATTTGCTGGCAGCAGGATTTGAGGTGTCACTGGTGGGATTTTCAGGGTTCCTAATGGAGGGATTAACAACAGGAGAAAGGTGCACACAGTAAGGTGCATATCTATGCCAGGTGTGTCATGTGGCCATAAATGAGGACCCAAAACATTTTGCAGCAGTTTGTGAGATTAGCCGAGGACAGACACAGAGAGGCATGCACGCACGCCCCCTCTCACGCACACTGCATGACCGATCTCATTATCTCCAGGCGGAGATATTAATAAGGAAATACTTTCATGAAAGTCTCAGCACCTGTTCACTATTTTGCTCTCCTTTTCCTTCTTCTTCCAGGAGAACCACACAAGTTTGATCCTTCCTTCAGAGGTCCAGTCCACAGGAGGTAACTCCATACTTCCATCTTTACATGCAAAGCAGAAGCAATGCATTATTCTTTATAGTCTGTCCTAAAGTATGTATGTATATATGAATATACGGTATATGCCCACACTAAGCCATCCAATATTATAACACTGTGTCTTCACTAGTATTTCCAGGATACTCCAGGATAAAGCTAAGTAATGGCAAAACAGCTAAATCTCTTCTTCCTGGTCCTCTTTTCAGTCAGTAAATAACAGAATTGTGCGTAACAACCAGGCGGCAACTGCCTTAAAGCTGCATTCTCTCTAATGTCCATCAGAGGGCGACTCCTCTGGTTGTATAGAAGTCTATGAGAAAATGACTCTTTTTTTGCATAGATTTCACCTTTGGTGAGCTCTCAATTTCTATATCACCTCGGCAGGTGTCACTCGCCTGCATTCACACATGTGTGGCCCTATTATGCCTTGTTCTGAATGTAGCAACTTACATTAAGACATGAGGGATATGCTGATATTATTCGGGTTTTAGGAGCTGTCTTTGTACATAGCGCATTTGATATATGCATAACAATTGCTTTAGAGCAGGGGTCTCAAACTCATCTTCACTCTGGGCCACATCAGCATCACGGCCTCAAAGGGCCGGTTGTAAATGTAAGACTGTGTAAATGTAACTACTCCTAACATATTGGTAAATAACTGTCTCTGCATTTGATTATTGTTTATTCAAGTGTAAAAATATTGTACATGCAGTTATATAAATGTATAAATATATTTAAGCACATTTCTGTTATAACTTAAATCCTTTTAATTTAGGGTTAAGAAACCCACATTACTCTATCAAAGATCAAACTATTAAAGAAAATAGCAAAGACAAATATCAAACACAAGTTATTACAATAACTTTGTTCAATGCTTAAAATCCTTTCAAGGGTGCGTTTGCACAATCCCACGTGAAGTATTTCATCTGTTTTAAAGCCACGTTTAAAGTAGTCTTCAATGTACTCACAATACATGTCATGTCAAGTGTACAGTAACCAGCCAAAGAGCTGCTTCTGTGACTGTGTGTTTAAGTATCTCATAGTTATGACTTTCTATCTCATCATTTTGACTTTCTATCTCATAACTTCGACTATGGGGATATTTTTATTATCAAGTCTATCAAGTCTTTCAATTTTTTTAAATTTGTTTTTTAAACAATTTTCTTTTTTTTTGCTGGCGGATTCGCGGGCCACATACAATGACGTGGCGGGCCGGATTCGGCCCACAGGCCTTGAATTTGACAGCCCTGCTTTAGGGGTTTACCACAGGGATGCATGCCTAAAAGAAAAGCCCACATTTCTGGTTGGAAGGAGAACACACACCTATTAGTAAACATTAGGAAAAAATGGATATCAACAGGTTTTTGGGTATGCACAAATATCGCATGCCGACCTTTTAAAGAAGTTGGTTGAAGGTGTGAAAGAAGGAGGCTTTGTTCGCTAGCAGCTCAACGGAATATGCACGGCTGCATTTGAACAGAAATATTGGTGGAATATTCATTTTCATTAGCCATGTAAACATCTTAGTAAGAATATTGTTGTTGTCTTTCTTTAATAAGAATAAGTGCACGTAAATGTAGCCATTGGCAATAATGTTGAGTTGGCACCATTTGTGTTCATTTTGTTACATACTCAGAGTACACTGCCGGGGGAGGGGGGGATGGAAATCCGCTGGCAGCAGCTTAGAAAGCGTCCGTTTTCCCTTCAAAACCTTTTTCAATAGAATTTTTAGGGTAGCAATCAGACAGCTTTATGGCTTTATGAGTGTATTTAGCAGCTCCAAAGACAAAAGATTAATTTAACATATAAGTCAATGCATTTTCAGTCAATGAGGCAGACTAATCGCGGCGGCACTAAGAACTCAGGAAACAATGTCACAAAGAGAGGCGTGTATGGCTCTTCTGCTCTAAACACCAAAATCCAGTCAACAAAACAACCATGTCTCAAGAAATTGAGACATCTTTACGCCTGGACAGCCTCAACCTTCCCTGTCATCAAAGGTCACTGTGGCCCTTTCAAGTTATTCAACAGATAATGTAACAGTGACAAGAACACCTTTCCTCACTGAGAAAGACACGACAGGACGTCCATGTTGACATGGTGTCTTATTCCAAAGAGAGACCATAGAGACATTGGACTATGAAGACCAAGTCTCAATGTCTTGCACTGTGAAGTTGTCTAATAGTAAGATGATTTAATGGAGGACATAAGTGTATGGTTGTACCTGAGAGATCACAGGCTCATAGATGGTATTTATATCATCCCACCCAATGATGTACAAGACCCACATTTTTAGGTTTAAGGACTTGTGAAAGACAGATTACAAGGTCCCATATTGTAGAAAGTGAGATTGCCATGTCTCTTTTTTCAATTATAAAGCAGGTCTAGGTGCTATATAGATACTGTGAAAGTATCCAAACCCTCCGCGTATACGGAGAAAAGCACCCAGCCCATATTCAGAACCCTTTAAACGAGCCCTCAGGACTTGGTTGAGGTGGTGATGTCACAGCTATACTGTCACCGGTGGAAGTGACGCTACACATTGAGTCCGCGGCTGCAGGTACGATGTGAAGACGACTACAACAGAGATATGGAAAATCAGAGCAAACTGGGCTTCTGCGGTAGGGGATCTTAAAGAGACAGGTGCTAAAATGGAGCGTTTCAGACAGAAGAACACTAACAATGACGATGACACCAGAATATTTGAAAATGTCCGTTACACATCGTGTTTGGAGGTCTCAAATTAAGCTAATTTCTGGTTAATCAATCTGTAGCGGAATGAAACTAATTTTCCCCACATCAACCAGAAATCTGACTTCAGTCCTCGCAGTAATTAGCTTTCACACACACAACACACACATTCTCACAAACACACACACACGTGTTATTTTGATCTATAATTGCATCTTTTCAGCTGTGCGACTGGGAGGAAATCCGCAGTTGTTCCCTGGTGCTCCATCTATAACTTCTCCCTCGCTCCTTTCCTAGAGAGGAATAAGCTCTTCTTCATTAAACTCTGAGCTCTCTTTGTTTCTTTATCTTGCCCTCACCAGAGCCAGAGACACAAATAATTAAAGAATAGAGAAACACATTCTTCACAGTAGCAGCATATGTATCACATGTTCTTATCTAAACACTACGTTTGCCTCATGATGATTTTCAATGAGAGTCAAAGTTGTATCAAAATCTGTATAGTATATTGTATGAAGAATATTATTCCAAAAGTTATAGTAGTATAAGCTGTTTTGTGAATATGGCTGCTGTGGTTGACGCCTTATTTTCTGTCTTTTCAGAAGCTGCACTGATATCTTATGTTGTTTGATCTTCATCATTGTCATCCTCTCGTATGTGGCCCTGGGGATAGTGGGTGAGTCAGTCTACACACACACACACACACGCACACACGAACACACACACCCCCAGTGAGTGTGGGAGAAAGCGTCTTTGATCAGTCTCTTCTTACAGTGCATTGTCTGGTGAATAAACACACACCGACAATCTCTGTTTTTTCTTGATCTCTCAAAATATTAGCCACATACACCACGATGCTGTGTTTGTATGTGTGTGTGTGTGTGTGTGTGTGTGTGTGTGTGTGTGTGTGTGTGTGTGTGTGTTTGCATGCAGCGAAAAAAACCAACTCCCTATTCAGTCATGTAGGACAGTTGGTGGTGCTCTGCGGACCTCTAGGTGAGACGTTCTCTCAGTGATTCACTCACACACTGCAAGGGCGGGAGCTCATTATTCAACTATTGGGATATTCCTTTGTGGGGGAGCTTGGTGTTTAACTTTGGAGGGGTCTGTTGGTAATGTGTTTGTGTTTGTCTACACTAGTTGCCTGCTCATTTCTTCCTTCTTTTGTTCAACATCCGGCCGCTACTAGTCCACAAGTTAATTGATCGCGAATGTCGTTGTTCTGTTGTTTTTGTTAATGAGAACAAAAACAAAACAAAAATGTATTGTTTTGCAATTGCAAAAATACACTTCACATGAAGTTAGGTTGAGCCAACAAAACCACTTAGTTCGATTTAGGAATGACTGTGTTTGTTTGACCCATCTACATCTCTTACAAGAACAAACCCTTCATTCAAAACTATATTAACTCTTTTTATCACAACACACAGACACAAAATAAATAGCTATTTGCACATGCCGACTGCACACTGATGTGCCTAGTATAAAACACTTTTATCTAGAGAGGCTTTTTCATGTGTAGCATGCAGTATAGACTATGAACACAAAGGAAATGTGTTCATTTTCAATACTCATAACAGTATCAGATACAATTCAATACAAAGATGATATGAACATATTACTGTATTGTACTCTAAACTAAATACAGCTTATTATAATTACAGTCCTCTAACTTTCCACAATGAGCCTCCATTGTTGTTCACACCAGAGTAAACCTGAATCCTGTTGAAAGTGTTCAAGCTTTGTTTTCTAAGTGATCTAATTGGAGACAGGTGTTTTCACAGGTGCATTCTGGGTGCATGTGATTATTAATTGTGTGTGTGGTATTTCAGTGTTTTAGTTGTGAATGTGTCTAATTAAATGACAACACAGTGTGTTCTCAGTTTATGAAAGTTTTTTAATTAACTGTAATATTTTGTACGCCTAAAAATGTCTTATTCAGCGTTCTGTTTTACTTAGCTCCACCCTCTCCTGTCACTTCTGGTTGCCAAAAAAACAAGATGGTGACGGCAACAATTCCGAACTAGGGGGCTTCAAAAATGGTAGTTCATTGGGACGTCACAGTGACTACTTCCACTTCTTATATACAGTCTTTGCATTCTATCAACAATGTATCAAAAGCACCGTGTGTAATGGGAAAGGTGTTCCATAGTGATGAACCCAGAGAGAATCATCACCGAGCTTTTTAGCCTATTTTGGACCACTGTTTAAGTTTTCTAGCTTGCAAACTCTGTTCTCATATTACATATTCTAATGCAGTGCCTCTGAAGTTATGGACCAGATGATTGTTGCTTCATGTAGAATTTCTCCGCTTCTGTCATTATCTCTGTCTTCCCGAACAATTGGTTTTCAACTGTTTCCCTGACTTATGTCCTCTATGTCCGTGCCCTGATCACATTGATTGTTTAACTGGCCGGTGGTTCAGAGGAGGAGATGAAAGGAGAGACATTGGGAAAAGAAAGAGATAAAGTGTAGAGGGAGAGACAGCACACTGCTGGCTTATCTGAGAGATAGAGCGAGGTGTGAGAAACCGAGGCCGTGGAGGAGACAATAAGCCAGCAGAAATCACAACAGAAATCTCTTTGTTGCCAAATGTTCAGCAGCCCCAGAAGTCACAGCAGGAAGTCCAGGGGGAAGCTGAATTGAAGGATTTGATGTTCTGGAGCACAGCTCCATATGAAACACAGTCTTTGCTTACTCTGATACTGTTCAGATACTTTTAAAGCTACAGTAGCTTACATTATCCAAGGTTTTCCTATTGAAGCTACGGTTGTCCTGAAAGCTCAAATTACAGCCACTTTAAAAAACACATGCATTCAAAAGAAAACACAACCAAATACAGAAATCAATCTATACAGAAAACACATTGTCAATCCCGTACTAAACCAATTACAAACAAATACAGAAACACGCTTTAAATACAGAAAACGACGAACTCAACCTCTACGATACTGTAAAGCAGCAGGCAGAGCTTCTGCTTCAGCAGTGGAGGAGTATGACATCATCTGTGTCCCAACAGGCAGCCCCTAAATCCCATTTACTAGTATGATATCACCCAATGGTGAGATCACTGGGAGCTTTCACATCCTGGTGCTGAGTTCATTTCTTACTTTATTTTATATTTATGTGCAAAAATGGCCCAACTATTCAATAATTAAGTGGAATTTGTCTTTTCAATATGCAAAGTATCTGAAACAGCTCATGTAAACCATCAGGGACAGAACTGATGGCATACATTTAGATGTTTAATAACCAGGCAGCAACCTCTGAAAAGTGGAGCCAATATTGAAGAGCTTTAAAGCTGCATTCTCTCTAATGTCCAGCAGGGGGCGACTCCTCTGGTTGTATAGAAGTCTATGAGAAAATGACTCTACTTCTCTCTTGATTTATTACCTCAGTAAACATTGTAAACATGAGTTTATGGTCTCAATCTCTAGTTTCAAGTCTTCTTCAATACAGCATGATGTTCATTTAGTACATTATGGTCCATTTAGAGTCACACAGACCATAAAGCAGGGTATGCTTTAGGGCGGGGCTACACAGTGATTGACATGTCTCTACCATGGTGTTGTCCTTTCACAGTGTGTTTTCAGTTCATTAAAAGTTAGTTGTAACATTTTGATCCACCCTCTAGTGTCCCTTCTGGTTGCAAACAACAAGGAGGCGACGGCCAAAATAACAAACTTCATGATTCAAAACTTCAGTCCACAAACCAACGGGTCCCGTTGTAACAATTCACCTAATTATATGAACCCAAAAAGGGAAAAGTACATACTCTAAAATGAAAGGGCACGGGCGGATCTGAATTGGTCAGGTATACAGACACTACATCTGACTGCGTAACAGTTGAAGGTACAGAAAACACACTATTATTCACTATGAGGACAGACCACATCAGACACAAAAGAAACCACACAGCCAGTTAAATATAACACAATATAATATAAATCAAATTCATTCGGCATACAGGATGCAGCAAAACAAAACAATCGTGAGGCTCCCGCTCTACTCCGTGCTGAATCCCCGTGCAGAGTGTAATCCCAGGAAAGTTCCTTTCTGGTCCGTTGCTGAGCAGTCACCGGCAAATCGTTCTCTCCGAGTCCACTAAACACCGACGGCTTCCCCTGTCGGCGCGCACCTTCTCCTCTCGCGTCACTCCCCCCCTGTCACCATTAATACAAACCAGATCAACTAAACTAATAACAATAGCAGACCCTATTCATATCCTCTGTTAATCATTACAGGCAACTAATAGCATTCATAAATACAGCACTTTTAAATATGTGAAGGACAATAACTCATAGGTTCGCCATTCACAATTGCCGTACCCAAAGGCAGACTTTTGCGGTCATTACACCATCACAATGACAACGTCCACTTCTTCTAACAGTCTATGATGATAACAGTCAAAGGTTTAAAAGGCTGCTGGAGCCAGAATTGCCTGGTGATACATACGTGCTAGTACTATTTCAATCTATTGATGCTTTTGCTTGAGCTGCTAGTGCTATTCCTACTACCACTCCTATTCCTGCTCCTATAGATGGGGCTCTTATTGCCACTACCTCTCGCGTGTGTTACTGGGGGCTACTGGCTACAAGTGACATCACCCTATAAGGAGGGCATGAATCCACAAATCCCACTGTACACATAGACATGCATGCAATAACCACACGAGCCGTCACACCACACCATAGTGTGTGTGCACACACTCTTACACAAAGAATCACTCCACTCCACTCTGCTACTACCAAACACTGATGACATCATTCCCGATGACATCACCCTCTCTCTCTTTCTCTCTCTCTTTCTCTCGCATGCACCGTCTGCACCTTGTACTTAGCCCCCATCTCTTTTTTGTCTCATCCATCCTTATTTTCAGAGCCACACACTCACACACACACACACTCTCACACACACACACACACACACACACACACACACACACACACACACACACAGTATGAACACAATCTCATTTCTCTTCACTCTCTTCATTGTCATTAACTACACCAACCACTGCGCTGTAGATATATGAATGTCACAATGATGAGACGGTTTACTAGTGAGGAAAGGCAGGTTTTCAACACAAGCTAATTCCTTTGTGTAGAGAGGATAGTCAACTTCTCCAATCCACCACTAGCATAGAAACAACACAAAATTGGGCTGTCAAACAATATGCACCTGTTCATTTTTTTGAATACTTCTTCCTTTCCAAAAATATGAAAAAAAAAAGGATTGAAACAGTTAGCTTGAGGCACAGGTGCAAATGCCGACCAGCATCTGCACAAAAGAGAACGGTCGTATCTCTTTAAAGTTATAATGTGTAACATCTGGCCACAATTTCAGTTTCAAACATTCAGAAAACGAAGGCTGTTCACTTGTATCAGCCGGTCCCAAATAAAGGCCTACTGAAGCTCTCTCTGCAACTGAGGGGAAAAACGACCCTGGCCTTTATTTGAGAATAACTTTGGAGCACCACTTGATCAACTTTTAAATGCATCTTTATGCATATCAAATGACATTAGATTGGTATATACAACTAAAATAGGAGTCGTTTCTCGATGTCTTGCCCTCTGCTGCTAGTTAGTAGTTGTTTTGTTTTTTTATAATTTATGACTGTAGATTTAGTTTGTATGGACCTACAGTAGTAGAGGTGAGTGGCCGCCCCCTGGTGGCCAGACATTACATATTGCACCTTTAAAATCACTTTGTATTACATATTTATTTTACATTTTACATTGATTTCATGTTTCAAACGAGTCATAGCTTCAGCAATGATGTAATGCTTAAGGACAACATACAGAATTATGTTGTAATGCACTGTAGTAATGAGGTTCATACTAGTACAAACTAGAAGATAACAGTAATACTAATGACTTAGGCAAAGACAAACCAAGTGCAGGAACTCAAAACCTAGTACAGTAAATCACAGTATTGAGATTTATTCTTCTAATTTTATGCCACGGCACTGTTTTGGCACAGAGGGATGACGGATGATTGAAAATAAGCAAACACACACACACACACAGATTCCTCCCATGGCTACTGGATGTCTTCATGCCTCTCTGTTGTGTTGTACATCAGGGGTAGATGGATTTCGACAGCTAAAACAGATTTTTATGTTTAAAGCTGCGAATAGTTTAAGGTCTTTTAGTAGCTTTAATATCTATATCTATATATACGTATATCCATACTGTTTCTCTGCTACAGTGAATGATCTGTCCGTCTTGTCTGTCTGTGTCGTCCAGCCTGGTTACATGGGGACCCCAGGAAGGTGCTCCATCCAACAGACAGCTATGGCCAGTTCTGTGGTCAGACGGGGACTTCCAACGTGTAAGTCACTGTTACACTCTACACACAGATCCCTTTACACCTACAGTCTCCCCACACGTTCACATGTAGTCACTCTAATGATCTTACTTCAGTGTTTATTTATGTTGCATATTTGCCTGAAAACATTGGAACATATTGGTTAATCATAATTTATTTTATCTGTTGACAGCATTGTTATGGAAAAAATATGGACATTTTTTTTAACCTAATTATTGTGTGTAAGATAAACTTGGAAAGTTATTGCAGCTAAAGAACCTACCAACGAACAAGAAAAGAAAAAAACACATATGTACCTTGCATCATGTGATGATATCAATGTGGGACAGTGCTGATAGGACGAACACTGTGGTTTGTCCCATCAGTGAGAATGTCTTTGGAGAACCTTTGGAAGCATGATCTCATCCCTACTTGTAACATTTTGCCACTTAACTAATTACATTAATTTGTATTACCGTAACAAAGTCATGTTGTGTGTGTGTACTTGTACTTTTTAATTTCCATATTTCAAAAATTCATAACTTTTCTTCTATTCAAGACTTTTTTTTCAAGTATTGCACATCGCTACATTTGAAGTTGCATCCATCACAGAGAATACCAGTCACAACGAACAGAAAGACCTACGACACAGAACAACACGTTGTTCATGCTGCCAATATCATAGAATCATTACAGAGCGTGAACTGAAGAGGCTCAGGAGATTATTCTTTTTACAATTACTTGCCTTGTTTTTCGAGTGCAATATGAGCTGTTTGTGAACACACATGCACACATTGAAGATCCTCACAGACTGACAGTGATGTCATTGTGTGCTTGTTTACAGCCCAGAAGGGTTCTAAGTCTGTACATGAATGTAGATATAATCCATCAAATTCCGATGATCTTCACGTTGTAGCGCGCGGTGCCCCCGCACGCTTTCTTAATTTAATTTATAAAAAAAATAAATTTTATTTATTAAAAAAATATTTTTTATCAAAAATTTTTAATTTATCAAAAAATAAAAAGTAATAAATAAGTAGGAGGCCTTTTGTTTGAAATGAACAAAAGTGGAACGAGGATCCCTCAGCAGTGTATGAGCGAACTGAGAGGACCTCGCCGGCGACGGGCAGACCCGAGCTGCCACCGGGGTGACCCCGGATCCACGGGACTCGTGCCCCGCTGTCCGGTCGCCCCCTGCGAGCGCCCCTGTTGCAGCAAGAGACTGCGAGAAGGGGAAGAGAGGCAGAGTTCAGTTCTCTCTCTATGTGACTCGCTCACCTGACCTGAGGGAGAGTGGCTCCTGCTCACTTCTCCCTGATTTGCCTCCATTGCTTTCGCTTAAGAGAAACTTATCCCGGTAGCCGATTGCACTAAATAGTAATAAATCGCCAACAAAAGAACGATCGATTGCTCGTTTGCTTTCTTTTCCGAATCGCCAAACATTGATATACTAAATAGTATAATCGGTCGCTCGAATAGCCGTCGGTTTTATAAAGTCTTTTAAAATTTGTTCTTCCCTGCTCAGAGCCCAACAGATATAAAGCTCTTTCAAACTCAAGAGGGACTTCCCCGGGTTTCTCTTAACTATAGAAAACGGATGCTAGTATGTGTAGATGTGTGTGCGCATAAAGTATGCATCAGTCGTGTGCCGTGCTGGAGCTCCGTCAACTTACCACAGGGGCTGGGAGAGTCTCCTAATCGGAGGAGACCTCTCCTCTTTGAGTTCCCAAGACAGATGAAGAAAAAGAGTCGGTCGGAAAAAGTTAAATTGTTACTTATTTATTTTTGTCCAATTCAAAGTATATTCTCTTGGTCCAAATACAGAGAAAAAATGATTAACATAAAAATATAAAAATCAACAAAGAATTTAAAAACCCCTGAACCCTCAGTGAGCAGGCTGTTTTCAAATGTCTGGAGATTTCTAAAAAGTTAAAGATTAACCCAGCGCAGGTTCAGACCTGGTGGAATTTTCCCCCAACTAAGCCCCGATCCTTTAAAACCGAGAATATTTATACTCCCCTGTGGGTCATGACAGCGTCATGTTAACCCCCCTTAAATTTAGTCAAACATGGATGAACATACTGTCCATCCAGGTCAAATGTATATGTCAACACAATGACATCTGCTGGTACTCAGGACACATGACACACCTTGCTCACTGATTGATGATAATATTCAGATACATATACATGCGTATTCAGCGTATGTTCCAACCGGGTACAGGGATACATGATAATCCAAACAATACATGATATAAAACATAATACACCTTTTTTGCCCAGCGTAAGATTAATACCAGGGTATTCTTATATATATATGTACCCATTTGCGTAAATTGCGCCTATGTCCTTAAGGCAGTGGTTCTCAAACTTTTTCTGTCACGCCCCACTTTGGAGGAGGAAAAATGTTCATGCCCCACCGCCCCAACAAAATTGTAACAAAATGGTCCATGTTGAACTTTTATTGAAATAATAACATTTTGTGACTCCTCCATCTGTGCTTTTTCAAATAATAGAATAAAGCAAATTGCAATCACTTTCAAGTAAACCAGATTGCTCCATCAGACAAAAACAAATACAATGTGCAATCACTTTGTTAGAACAATGCAAATAAAGTTCTCTCTGTGCAAAAAATAACTAATATTTGGCAAAAAATAGCTTATTGTGGCTGCAATTCACCTGTTTTGCACTGAATAGCTTTCCAAGATAATAACAATAAAGTGCAACCTGTGCAAAACGAAACAAAACAAGTTAAAATATTTGGCAATAAAGAGTTGTACTGAGTTTTACACTGCATATCTTTTCAAAACAACAATAACGTGCAACCTGTGCAAAACTAAACTAAATGAGTACAGATACTGTATGTGTCACACATACCAGGAGCATTTTATTTTAATGAGCTTTAAAATGTAGCATTCTAAAAGTAAAATAATAGCTGTGATTTAACTGCACATGGGACTGTTGCTGGAGTTCATCTCATTGGAGTAGAGGCTGCATGTAGCATACCCTGCCTTATCAATGTATTTAAAACACTGTGACAGCAGGAAGCTGTACTCACGTCTGTTTAGACCTCCACCTTTATCCAGGCCCAGCTCCACCTTTATCCAGGCCCACCTCCACCTTTATCCAGGCCCAGCTCCTTCACAGCTCAGCCCTGCATCAAGCTGCGCTACACAAACAGCCTCCTCTCCCTGAAGCTCTTTGACCTCATCATCTCATCAGTATCTGGGCCTTTCATTCTACTTTGAGTTAAAAAAAACAACCTGCAACCAGATCCGCCGGTGTTCTGGTTTAACGTTAACGAGTGACCGCGTGAACTGAAGCGGAACACGGGGGGGCTTTATGTTTCATCACGTTATGTTTTTTCCTAATGATGATAATAATGATAATGATGAACGTTAGCAGTCCACAAAGTTCCGCATGCAGTGGACGTTAACTTAACCCAGTGTGAACAGTAACGGAACATGACGTAACTTAAACTGTCACGGAGGGAAAGACGGTGCAGACATCTTAACGCTGATTGGCTAAGACTCGACTCAACACATCAAAGATGTTTTATTGTGAAGATCACGACATCACCTTTTCTCCTCGTCTCACTCCAATCTGAGAAACGCTGGCTGGCCAGTTGACCCCCCCCCCCCCCAAAAAAAACTATGGATCTACACCAGTTTGTACCTTGTTTACACCTTGTTCAGTCTTAATAAAGGGTATTAAGACTGAACAACAAAAGGACCACAAACAACTTTCTACATTTATTAGAAAGATTTGTGTTTTCATGATCTGAACTTTTATTATGGAAACAATTAAAGTCAGAGGGAACTGGAGAGACGAAACATATATATATATATATATGTATATATATATATATTTAAGATGATACACTGTGATTTGAGGCTCTAGCCGTGATGGAGATGGAGAGAAAATTTTGCAAGTAGTTTAGTGTAGCCTTCGGCTAACCTTCTCATTCATAATGGCTGCTGCACTGAAAAAGGCTAAACTATTAGAGAGAAGAAAGAATGGCCTGCTGTTGGGATCATTTTCTGTAACCAGTGTAGCATGAAAGCACGGTGGAATTAGCTCGATGGTCCCACCGTGCTTTCATGCTACACTGGTTACAGAAAATGATCCGAACAAAGTTGTCACTTATCTGCCGATAGCAATGTGCTTTCCTACACTGTGACAGTGTGTAGATAACATGGCCCTGTTGGTTTATATATTTGTGTTTGTACCGGGGTGGTATATCACGTGTCTTATGCATTTAGTATGATGGCTATTCACTGGGAGGCCTTTATTGAGTTCTTTATTATGGTGGGTGTAGTTTTATACTCCTTTAGATCCCATCATCATCTCTATTCAGCTTTCTGTACTTTTTATGTAATATTCATGTAGCCTTGATACTATCGGTGAATATATTTCATGTTGTGGTTATCACAGCTCAGGGGCGTTGTTTGGCCTGATGCGTAGCTGTGATATAATCACAACATATCACAGTCAGCAATGAGCTCAGAATGCCAATATGAAAGTTATAGACACATTACAATCCAAGTCAGTTTTGTATTAATATCTAATTATGTTCACAATAAAATTAGCAGCTAGCATATTACTTTATCATTATTTTGATGTAATTATTGTTCATTATTATGTATTTACAAAATTTGTATGTTGCCAGTTATTGTGCAGCAACTGAGAAACTGACCAGCGTCGCTGACGATGAATTTGATAACTACTTGTACGAGGCTCGTCTTTATTTGTCGGGTGGAGATGTGTTGCTTGGTTTTGGGATGTTGCTTCACTTTCTCCTGTCCCTGTCAGAGTGTTGGTTGCCAAAATCTCCGGAGAGAGTTTTTACATTTGCGTCTACTTAAAGCCTTATCTATCTGGTGTCAAAACCTGCGTCAGATAGTTTCAGTCTTTGTGCTACAGAGGCAGCAGCTAGCTAACATTAGTGTCAAAAATAACATTCTCAGCCGCTGGGTGATATGATATCATGATGGGTGATATAATAGGAGTTAGATATCATGGTATGTAGATACTTTATCATGGCTATGAACCAATCTGATTGCTTGGTTTGAGCTACCCGTTTTGTAGCTAGATATACTGTTTCCATAAAACTTCCATTTATCTGTATCTGTCTGAATAACATCACCAGGCTCCATTTAACAATTCAAAGGAATACTGTGCAAAGGATTATGGGATACCGAAGGCTGTTATTATTAAACTAGTTCGGTTCTGCATTTCTTGGCCGCATTTGAAGTAGTCTTTGATATGAGACGGACCATATCGACCTGTTATGATCATCCTAGGATAAAGAGACAGACTTCAGAAAATCCACACACTGAATTAGGACACAGTACATATTTACTAACTCTCTCTGGGATGAAAACCAAAATGCTACTAGTACAAGCACTTGTAGGCCTTAAAACTCGGTGTCTTTTAAATTGATAAATCATGCTAAGAACTGTGTGTGACTACTCCAAAAAATAACTTGATGCGACCATAGAAGTGAATGATAGCATGTACCTGAGCAGGCTGCAGGAGAATGATGAGAGGATGTGTCTGTCAGTCTCAGAGGATTCAGTGGGATGAGTGGCTGAGACCAACACACAGGATGCTTTTCTTGTGTGTGCTGCCATCTACTGGTGCTGCCTGCCTATCAGACTAACTCATTCACACACCGTAGGCACGGGAGTCATTTTGGGGTTAAGTGTCTTGCTCAAGGACACGTCAACATGCGACTAGATCGAACCGCCGATCCTCTGATTGAAGGACGACCCTATGAGTTGTGTATGCACAGAAGAGGGTATTAAACTTACACAAATACAAGACCAAATACAGTTCTAACAACTGAAGTGATTGGCATGAAAAAAGAAATCTACGTAATAAAATACTTAATGAAGGCTTGGAAAGAGGGTTGAGGAGTAATGTGGTTACTTTATTTAGTTTTTGTGGCTGGTGTTCTTAACTAAGAAGGTGCAACGTTACACTCAGATAGTTGCAGTGTGGTTAGAGCTTAGTGTGAGAGCAGGTCATGAGTCATCTTCATTCTACGTACATCTCCAGAAAACCATTTCCCCTCCGTGGATATTCCAGTTTCTACACTCACAGTATGATCAATATAGTCAGTATGGGCTGTCAAATACAGCATGTTGCACCAACTGTCACAGTTTTGTCAAGCGGGCAGCAGGGGAAGGACCCAAGCGCAGACCAGCAATAAAGATAGTCGACTCTTACACTGAGTGAAATATATTTAAACCCAAGGCTCAACGGTTATTTTTGCACCACCATTCCATCAAATGGAAATAGAGCTGCATCCATCATTTTTAAAAGCTTTAGGAGCTGCAGTAAAATGCTAAATCTGTTGGTTTGAACAACGGACAGCTGCAAATACAAGTTTGTGAGGTTTAGCTACTGAAAGGATTTCAGAATTTCATAATTGAAGTAAATAGAGCAACAGGGACCAATGCACTTCGACCCAACAATCTTTACTCTTTGCTTCAAGGCATTCTGGAACATGAAATCACTAACTGGAAAATAAGTGCACACTGGGGAAATGTGCACTATCTGTGTGATTTTGATTTTTTTTTTTTTTGCAGGAAGAAACCCATCCTATTCTATTTCAACATCTTGAAATGTGCCAACCCGGCTATACTCATCAACCTGCAGTGCCCCACAACGCAGGTACTCCATTTACTACGACTGCTGCAGTAACACAGCATCACTTTATCTTACGCCTGCTGCTATGCATTTATCGTGTCAGTTTAGAACAACACTGAGATATATTGAATTAAATACATTCTCACTTCCAACTCGTCAAATGTAGATGTTTGCTCAGAGGTCCTACGCTTCAAACTGTGACACTCTATGTTCCCCTCTAGCCTTTGAGAACAGATTGTGATTGGGGTAAAAATAAGTAATGTTTGTTAAGTAAAATAAGTTTGCTGGTTACTTGAAATAAGTATACTTGTTACATAACTTAAATATGCGATGTTAGCTAAGTATGTAAGTTACATAACAAATGTAAAAGAAGCAAACATTGGCTAAGTTTCACAGCGATCTCCTGGGTGAAAGTCCTGTGTTTGTTTGACCCATCCATCTGCCCATCCTTACACTGACTCTCTCGCTTATTATACTGTCATTGCTCTCAGCATCTAATAGTTCTTTATGTCATAACAGATGGGTTTACATTGGAGTTAGGTAAAAGCAGCAAGGCCTTCTCTGCTGGCCCTGACAAAATCACAAAATTATAGCTATTTTATAATTTCATTATTTTTCATAAATACACTACATGCATTCTAAATATTTTTCCATTAACTTATTATCTCATTGCACAGCTACTGTCTTCCTCAGTTGCGCTTTTAAGTAGAGCTTTTATCCAATCAGATTTCGCTCTCCAAAAAAAATCTGCCCGAGGCCTTCAGAAGTGAATCTCTTTGCAGAAATAAATGGGGACAATATTGTTGATTGTCATAGTTTTCAACCAATCAGATCTTTAGTTTGACATGTTGGGCGTATTTTTTGACGTGTCAGAGCTTCTAGCTGGCCTACAAGTACGTCAGCATTATCGTGCGGCTTGATTGGTCAGTGTGCTAGCGTGACTGTTGTGAAGTTAGCTAGCAGAACTTTGTAGTAGTAAGAGTTAAAGTTTAAAGATATGTAAGACGTTTTTACATGACATTACATTTTTAGTATTTAGACATGTTCCCAATATCTGCTGCCTCTGTCGAGGGGACATTTTCAGCCCTCAAAAGCATTAAAATGTATTCAAGAAATACAACTGGGGAGGCTCGACTGTCTTCACTGGCATCCATGAATCGAGAAGGACTTCTGGCTGGAACTGAACCGCACCGATGTTCTGTACAACCGTGTCATTGAACTCTTTGTAATCAAAGAAAGGAGGATGGACTTTGTCTTTAAGTGAACAGCAGCTTTGGTAAGTGAACTGCTTTTGTGTTTATACATCTGCAGTAGTGTTATTACTGTGTTCATTTTTATATCGTGTCATTTTTATGATATGGTTAATATTGTTCCCTCTGATGTGAATAATATTTGAATGGTGCTCTTGAGTGTGTGGATGAATGCGTGTTTTCGTGCCGCAGTTTTGCTGGAATGTGCAGAGGCCTGATGAATCGTGTTATTTGGGTTTTATGTTATTCTACATGCTACTGGTTCTTGTGAGTTTGTTCTTGTCATTGTGTTAATTACATTGATTTTGACTCTATGTATTTTCCATTAATGACGAAGCATCCCATCATGCTGGCGTCATAATGAGGTTATTAGGAGGTGGTTCACTGAAGGCCCAGGTATAAAACACACGGGTAAAAGTCTGGTTGATATCAGACGATGAGGGGCACTGACCAATCGTTGGTATTTGACGAGTTGGAAGTGAGAGTGCGGTGGTCACGGCGTACGGGTTAGGGTTACAAAAAGTGCCACATATTGTCTAGTGCTTATTAACTTAGACAAGATTGCAGTTGTTAATAAAAAAAGTATTTGTTACTGAGATTGATGTTTACTAGCTGACTGCAACTTTGCGTTGGCATTGATGAAGGTTAGATCCACCTGTCCATTAACAGTAGTCTATCAAATCACAAACGTAATGTCAGTGTGCATTTTCTTCCAGATGTGTGTATCAAAGTGCCCGGACAAGTTTGCCACCTACACTGAGATGCAGCTGCAACACAAACTCAGCAGGAGTTACTGGGAATATTACAGACAGTTCTGCAAGCCTGGCTTTAATAACCCTGACAAGGTACCAACACTGACGCATTGTATACATTTATTACTAGAGTACTTGATGTGGTTTGATAAACTGTGATTAGGTGAAGACCAGTATTGTGAGGGTCAAAGAGGATCCTACTTGAAACTTTAATAGACAGAATCGTAAGGTATTGCCAAGGGGCTAAAAAGTGAAGCCAAACGCCTAATGGCCCTTTTAAAGCCGGCGTCTTTAAACATTTGTATGCATGTCGGCAACAGAAGTGGCGTTTTGCCTCAGCCATCCAGATGTCTAACCGAGCTTTAAACATTGAATTAAAAGGTTTACCAGCATCAGAATGTCTGGTTGTTAAGTGTTCGCTTGTCAGAATCAACATTCCAACAGTGGACCCAAGTTCTACAGAATTCTAAAAAGGATCACAACCGTTTCAGAGTAACAGGTGTTTCAGTTTCATGAGTGACCATGTTATCTGGTGACTTTCAGCCAAATGCTTCCATTGTGGCTCGTAGTAACTTACGTAATGGTTGTCGTAGATAATAAATACATACGAGTATGTATTTTAAATTGATGGAAGACCAAGATGGCAACGTCAAAAATGCTGAACTTAAGGCTTCAAAATCATAGTCCACAAAGCAATGGGTGACGTCACGGTGACTACATCCACTTCTCATATACAGTCCATGGGTGCAGTCCAGTATCGGACTCTCAAATACATCTCAAATACATCTTGATGAAACCTGAATTCCCCCTTTTCCAAAGTTCAAACTAACTTTGTGTGTGTGCCGACCAAAAGTCTTCACCAAGAACCAGAACTCTCATACATGCTGTCATTGTAACCCTCCTGTCTCTCCGCTGTTTCTTCCAGCCAGTATCTCAGGTTCTACGAGATGAGGACTGTCCCTCCATGATTGTACCCAGTAGACCATGTAAGGATGAGATACCCCCCCCTCCTCCCACATCCTACCTAAAGTTAACTAGTTTTGTCAATGCTTGAATTTTAAAGTAGGTTGTATAAGTCAAATTAGATGTTTTTTTCACAGACCAAAGTCATAAAAAAATAATGTGTCAATGGGCTCATCATATAAATCCCATTTTATTTACATAATAGATGGCGTGGATAATCAGTTGAAATGTGGATATTAGTCAGTGGAAAGCCACGTTGCATGTGTGTGCGTGTGTGTGTGTGTGTGTGTGTGTGTGTGTGGCAGTTCTCCAGAGATGTCTACCAGACTTCATCACTCAGAATGGGACTGTGACTGTAGCGAACAGAACCAGCTTTAAAGATGCTCTGGAAATGGCTCGTAGTGTAACTGACCTCCAACATGCTGCCAAGTACTGTAACTTCTACTACTTCTTGTTTTTCATGTCTGTCTTCTGCTGTATCCACTTGTCAAAGATCACTCAACAGCACTAACGAACTAACTGCACTTCGTCCAACCGACACTTTTCCCTCCCCTCCACCGTAGCTATGCCTAAGGTATATCAGTGGCGGGCCGTGCATTTTATACCTGGGCCTTCACTGCTGTCCTGCAGCTGAAATACCACCTTATAACCACAGTGTGGCACCACAGCTATTATTCATTTTAAGGCTGTAACTATGAACATCTTCGGCCCGCCACTGCGGTATATGAATGAGTTAGTCCGATAGGCAGGTGGCACTTAGCCTGCCATCAGTGTGTGAATGGGTGAACGATGACAAGTAGTGTGAAAGCGCTTTGAGTGGTCGGAAAGACTAGAAAAGCACTGTACAAGTACAGTCCATTTACCATTACAAGAGGGTGACTTACCTTCATATGTTTTTCTGCTAGTTTCTATTTTAACTTCTACATGTTTAGATATTATCTGCAAAAATGAATGTCAGACTTTGAGTGTGGCAGTGAGGGGATATTTCATATGATGGCGTGTATGGCAATAGAAACAACAAAAAAATTGTTTCCGAGATTATAGTCGTAAATTTACAAGACAAAACTTGCATATTCTCTGAGATTGCAGTCATAAATTTAAAAGAAAAACACAAGACTGAATATAGGAAGTGCTATAGGAAAGGCATTGCATATCTGTAAATCAAAATGTAAATTTGTCAGTTTTTTCTTGTATGACTTTGTTTTTTCTCTGAATATTCCCCCCTTCCCCTGCTACCTAATTTTGATTATGTATTACATTTTTTTCTACATCTGCCCTAATAGGCCGTTGTAGTTTCATTAGAAAAAAATATTTTTTTATTTAAGCTATATACAGAACAATAGCTCATCAAGACCTGGGATTGAAATGTGTATAGTCAAGTGTTAGCATCTGGCTGATGGACAAAGATCCTACAAACCTGGCATTTCTCTGTATCTTAGTGTCTTTGTCTTTGTCTCTGATGTAACATTGAAAGAACCGGTCTCTGTTTTCTTACTCTGCTTCATTTCTGCTCAAATAACTCCTCCCCCCTCTCCTCCATACAGGGGTATAACAGGACTAGTGGACACTAAGGAGCTGGGCATGAAGATCGTGGAGGATTACGTCAAGTCATGGGCATGGATACTCATGTAACTACACAAACAGCACACACAGAAAAGCCACAACACGTGACTCAAAGATATTTAGCTACCGTTTAGCCTCACAGCTAGTTGTGTCTAGACATGAACAAGTATCAGTAGCAGCTATGCTAAGTTTTGAAAACGTTTCTGATCAGCAGTTTGTTGTTGTCACCATCACTTACCTACTAAATAACATGCACATTTACTTGATTCATTATTATTTGACAGTTCATTATTAATGTTACCACTAAAATGAGCCTAAAACGCCTATCCAAGGCATACCCAAAGTAAATTGAAAGCTGTTCTTGAACCAGTTGGAGTACATGCATGGTTTTGATCGCTTTTGAAAGGTAACACTCTGAAGTTTCTTCCCCAACAGTAAGAATCACTGTAAGTGCTACTGGTATTGAGTAATAGAAGTTTGAACACACTGAAGTAGAAGGTTTTTATTTCCGCCTGAATATTTTTTTGCAAACAGATGTCTGCAGATGACTATAGCTGGGACTTATTAGCTGGAAAACACAATGGGACCGCAGCATGAAGCCTTACCTAGTCCAAGTTCAAATTTTAGAACAATACCACAGAAAATTAATATTTTACACATGTTTTACTAAGGGTATGTCGAGGCGCTTTCCAAAAAAAAGACATTTGGGGACCCATGATAACCATGGTAACATACCTAGGCTGTGTAGAAATGTGTATTCATAATTGAAACTATAGCTTATTTTTGTCTAAATACAGTTATCTATAAGTTATTTCACCATTATTTACTCTCCTAAATTCTCCAAAACCACACTTTGCATTTACCGCACGGACACAGCGACCTGACTCGCGGTTTCGCAGGTGACTTCCACGTTCTGCCTCTAAATCCACCCCCTGAAGCTGCATATCATTGTTTTCGAAAATTTCATTGGCTATACGATCGGTTGCAATTGGCTCGAGTGTTACACGAAAGAAGAGGGGCAAGCACTTTCATTCAACACGGACTCTTGTTGGCTATTGTAGGCTGTGGACAGGACAAGGAAGCTCCTAATAGGTCAAATGAGGTGTCAATCAAAAGGTCAGAGTGCAGCCGTCATTTTGAGACACAGAGTTTGCATGCAAACTGAAGTTACGTTCGAAAATACATAGATAGTTAGGCATATCTGCCGGCTAATTTGAAATGATGCAACAGCAGTCCATGGGTATTTATGGATGTAATAATGTGTTTTGGACTAAATATTTTACTGGATTGGATCGTCTGGACCTTTGACAATGTAACAAGACCATTTTTGTTGGAATATTATTGAGAGGTGGACTTCTATAAAGCTTCATCGGTGAGTTGCCTCGATTTTGTAACTGCTTGTTTGTGGGTTGGTGGTCTGACAGAGGTGTTGAGTGTACCTGCTGTTGTGATTGTATCTTGAAATGGTTTGCATAAATCGAATCACAAGAATTGTAGCTTTCCAAAGAGATGTCTCATCAGAACCTACCTATAAATAGCAGTTGTGTACATGTTACAGGTCCAAGCTTGAAGTTAAAGCCTGATAACAGATTTATGCCTGAGAAAAACAGGAAATAATAAGACAGGCAAACGTGTGGCTTCTTCATTCAGCGTCTTCTCAAGCTATTTTATTTCACACTTCTTCAAGTGAAAACAATCTCCTGTATATCCATCTATCCATCTATTTTCCTCCACTTATCCGGGGTCGGGTCGCGGTGGCAGCAGGCCAAGCAGGCTGACCCAGACTTCCCTCTCCCCCGCAACATGTTCCAGTTCATACTGGGGGATCCCGAGGTGTTCCCAGGCCAGCTGGGAGATATAATCCCTCCAGTGTGTTCTGGGTCTTCCCCGGGGTCTCCTCCCAGTTGGACGTGCCTGGAAAACCTCCAGTCGGAGGCGTCCAGGAGGCATCCTATTTAGATGCCCGAACCACCTCAGCTGACTCCTTTCGACGTGAAGGAGTAGCGGCTCGACTCCAAGCTCCCTCCTGATGACCGAGCTCCTTACCCTATCTCTAAGGCTGAGCCCGGCCACCCTACGGAGGAAGCTCATTTCGGCCGCTTGTAGCCGCGACCTTGTCCTTTCGGTCACGACCCAGAGTTCGTGACCATAGGTGAGGGTAGGAACGTAGACCGACCAGTAAATTGAGAGCTTTGCCTTCCGGCTCAGCTCCCTCTTCACCAAGACGGTCCGGTGCAGCGCCTGTTTTACTTCTGCAGCCGCACCGATCCACCTGTCGATCTCCCGCTCCATCTTACTCTCAGTCGTGAACAAGACCCCGAGATACTTGAACTCCTTCGCTTGCGGTAGGCACTCCGTCCCCACCTGGAGGGAGCAATCCACCGGTTTCCGGCAGAGAACCATGACCTCAGATTTGGAGGTGCTAACTCTCATCCCCGCCGCTTCACACTTGGCTGCAAACCGACTGCTTGCCGAGAATGCGGACACAGCTCCTACTGCAGTCGTACAGAGACCGGATCGCCCGTTGTAACGGGTCTGGCACCCCATACTCCCGCAGCACCCCCCACAACAATCCCCGAGGGACCCGGTCGAAAGCCTTCTCCAAGTCCACAAAGTACATGTAGACTGGTTGGGCAAACTCCCAGAATCCCTCCAGTTGTCTTGCGAGGGTAAAGAGCTGGTCCACTGTTCAACGGCCGGGACGGAATCCGCAATGCTCCTCTTGAATCTGAGGTTCGACAAGCGGTCGGAGCCTCCTTTCCAGCACCCTGGCATAAGCCTTCCCCGGGAGGCTGAGTAGTGTGATACCCCGGTAATTAGAGCACACTCTCCAGTCCCCCTTTTTGAAGATGGGAACCACCACCCCGGTCTGCCATTCCATGGGCACTGATCCCGACCCCCATGTGACATTGAAGAGGCGTGTCAGCCAGGACAGCCCAACTATGTCCAGCGCTTTCAGCATCTCAGGGCGGATCTCATCCACCCCCGGCGCCTTGCCACCAAGGAGCTTTTTAACTACCTCAGCGACCTCTGCCAGGGATATGGGTGAGCCTCCCCCTAGGTCCTCAGGCGCTGCCTCCTCTGCAGAGGACATGTTGGTCGGGTTTAGGAGTTCCTCAAAGTGCTCTTTCCACCGCCCGACGATGTCCCCCGTCCGGATCAGCAGCCGCCCCCCCGGTGAGAACAGCCTGGGGTAAGCCCTGCTTTCCCTTCCTGAGCCGCCGGATGGTTTGCCTCACTATACGTTTGGGCTTGCCGGGTCTTTCCAACCGGTTACCCCGCCATCTGATCCAACTCACCACCAGGTGGTGATCATATCTGTTGTCGCTTGGGATAAAACCCTTCCTAACTGCACTTTGGCAATGTGCCCACAGCCACTGTGGCGTACGTGAGGAAGACACCATTCCAAATGGCGGCGCTGCTTCACCAGTACAGCGAACCGCTAACAAATGCTAACAAACATTCACAACACTTATATACATATTACAGTCACATTAAGTAACATATTTAGTATGAATCGACCTACCAGAACATAAAGAGTCGATTAATTTCATTATAAAGAAAAAGTACGATGTGTAGGAGCCAGATAAAAACAAGGGATGTAATACAGGGCTACTATCAGCTTAGCTAGCACTCGACAGTCAGTCTTAACTCACGTAGCTACCAAACAACTACATAAAAACACAAAATACTCATATGTCATCTTTGGTGCATTTTACATGTTACTAACCTGAGAAAAACAGGAAATAATAAGACAGGCAAACGTGTGGCTTCTTCATTCAGCGTCTTCTCAAGCTATGAGAAGACGCTGCACGCGCACATACAAGTCTTGGGTCGCAAGGCGGAACCACAACGCTGCACTGGGCATAGATAGAAATACACTTCTAAAGGAAGTTTTATTATGATTAGCAAATCACAGAAATTCGTTCAAATGTAATGAATCAAATATTCATCAAATAACAAAAATGTGACCATACGTTTTGTGTGCGTCACATACATAACACAGATGTACAGTTACCCGGGCCGTCGGAGTGGTGACAGGTTTTAAAGTGTATTCCATTAAACAATCAGTGCCTCACAAATCTGTCACAACTTGAAGGGTAACTTTGTGTTCGAAAAATTCACTCGAGGCCGATGTAAAAATCATTAAATCACAGGACATTTAGAGACAGATTTGAAACACATACAGAACATGGATCAAGGCTGCTCAGAGGTTTGTCTCTGAGTCTCTGTCATATACGTATATACTGCTAAACACAAGCAGTGTGGTGGTACAGGGTAATTTACGATAAGCTTGTCACACACGGATAACATACACACGTATTGCTTTTCACACAGCGTAATCTTCACAAAACCTGGAACAACACTTTAACAGTTTGTTCTCGTACAAAGGTCATTCTATGAAATCAGGAAGTCTTGGTAGCAAATCAGCTCTGCTCAAGTATTGACGTCTTCAACAGTTTTATTGTCTCTTATTTAGGACAAACATCTGCTAGCTCCCAAGAGGAAAGATATCTGAGACGCTTGGTGTCAGAGGAAGTTTCAGACACCCAGACATACGAGGACACAGGCCTCGAAAGTTCACATGAGGACATAAGTCTTTGTAAGTCAACATACTTCTTTAGTCATTAGATTTTTCCAAAACTTTGGTATTTTTTTCAACCTTGACCCATTTCCCTTTTCTTTGTGTCCAAGTGACTGATAGGGATTGTTACACATCACAATTTTTTAAACCGGTCCAGAACATAATGCTGTCAGTCACTTAGAACAACATTTTGACAGTCAGTGACAAAAACAAGCACTTTTATTAGAACATTGACTAAGCTGAATTCCCCATTAGGATTACGTTGCAGCCCGTTTAGCGGCTGCCGTCAGCAACAATATCTCTCAAGCCCATCAGTCAGTCAGACACAAAAACATTACAAAACAGGGTCCAGGTGTCAGGATCCCTGTCTGACCCATTGTGTGTTAACCTCTGTTTCCCCCTAATCTCCTCTCCTCATGTGTCTGTCTTTTCCCTGTTTGTTTTGTTGTGCAATGTGCTTGGTGTTGTTTTCTCGGGCCT